TGTCCTGGGTTACATTTCCATTGAATGAAGAACTTTGGTCAGTTTGGTTTGCCACAAAAGGGTTCTGGGCCAATAGGTGTTCTCATTGAATTTTCCTTGACCAATTTATCAACCTCTTCAATGCCCTTCTGCCCTATGTGCAATGGAATCCAAAATGTCTGACAGGGCCCTGATAATCTTTATCACCAATGTGGTTATTGCCATCTTCTGGCTGTTTGAGTAGATGGCTATTTTTTTAAGAAATGCGTTTTTGACCCGTAAAAAATATCAATTTTTGTCCTTATGTTAAAACTCTGTTATTTTTAACTCCAAGCTTACATGATGAGCTCTATTATTTTGTTTAATGTGAAATGCACAGGAATGTTTCAAAAATGCAGTTGGTTTCAATGGAAAAAAAAATCAATAAAAATGTAGGAAATTTTTTCTTTTCTATTGAAATTTGGGTCAAACCTTTACAAAGCAGTTGTAAAGAAAATAGAGACTCAAATGTCAATAAAAAGGAGAAAAAGGCAGTAAATTAAAACATACACGAAAGTCAAGGTTTAAAAATATTTATTTAAATAAACTAGGAACATACAAATGTGTACATTTATTAAACATATTACACCATTACAAGTAGGAATATAAATTATCAGTCAGGTAAATACAGTCAAACGAAAGACAATTAATCTATGAAGGGGTAAGTATTATTTTTCTCCATTCTCCTGTTTTTCTTTATTCTGTTTTTTCTGTTTCACAGCTGGGGCGTTCGTGTGAACGATGGGAATTTCACGAGCATCATTTTCTTTGGAAACCTGCATACAGAAAAATGTATTTACAATTAGTAAATAAAGAAAAATATATTAACATGGAATTCAGAATGTTTTTAACTCACCTTAGGTGCTTGAAGGGAAAGAACACCGTCCGATGAAAGATTTGATTTAAGGGCATTAAGGTCTACATCCTTCGGAATCCTGTATTTCCTTGTGAACTGCCTCGAGATAAAACCATGCTCATCCGACCTTTCCTCGTGCTTCCCATCAACGACAATCATGTCATTCTCAACCTTGACCTTAAGCTCGTCCGGCTTGAACTGCTGCACGTCCAGGTTGACTTTAAACTCATCCTTGTTTGAGACAATCGAAGAAAGGCCAGAATCGCCAGCCAAAAGGTTCCTCCAGGGTCGGACGTAGCCGCACCTTAGTGGAGCCTGTAGCAATCCGCATGGTCTCAGGTCATCATCCATAAGACCGAGTCCAAAATGCTGGTCGCTAAGGTCATAAACAGGCCTGTGGTAAGTGTCAAGCAGCTCGTTGAACAAAACTGGCAGCAATGACATTTCTAAAAAGACAGAATAAATTAATAAAATTTAATTACAGTACTATAACAAAAAATTTAATTACTTACTTTTTTTGAGGGTGTTTATAAGGTCGATTGAAACGATTCAAGAAGTGTTCACTTGCTTTGCTCAATATCAACTGATGAGGGGACCAAGCCAGCCTGAGTATTTATAGGGGGGCAGGCTTTCATAGAACAGCCTAGAACGCCCTCCCCACTTCTAGACTCATCTTGGATTTTTGGCTGATTTCCCTATTTCTCACCTTATTTTTTCTGTTTTGTTGTTATTTTTTCTAAATAAAAAAAAATATCCCTTCTTTACATCATATTATATCATAAGCGTTGTTTTTATACAAAAATCAACACATTTTCACAAGTAAGATTTTCAGTCTGAATTTCTTCACAAAATATCCTTTAGCGAAAAATAAATCGTAAAAGACGTATTTGAAATTTCTTTTATATATTGGTGATATAATTTTTTGGGTGTGCAAACGTTTTGGAATTGAAGAACGCATAAGTGTTAATAACAGTAATGTTCTTACGTAATCTTTCCATTAAAACATTTATTAATTTAATTATGTTCCGGTGTTTTCCTTGAAAATTAATAATTCCTCTGGATGTGACGATAAAACAAAAATAGAGAAGTTGAATTTATCTTCTTCCAGCCTATGTCCACAACGATTACAGTTTTTGTAATTCTAAGTAAATAAAAATAGGGATAAAATACATAAAAACTCTTCATGTTTTATTTTATATCTCCGGTTTTAATATATTTACAAAGGACAAATTTGGCAGTGTTCAAGGGTTTTTGAGGGTGCAAAAAACGACTTTCAACTTTGTTTCTCTATTAAAAAAAAAATTATGTATTTTAACATCTATCATATTACCCAAATAATATATGGTTAATACAGTTAGCTGCCATTATTTCGACGTAGTAGCGATGTACCGGGCCTCGGAGAAAAAAAAAAAACATTTTCCCTGCACATTAATGTCAATGTTGTTATTGTTATATCCATATTTACAGGCTTTAAACAAATCGGAATTTTTTATTGGAAGCGCTTTTGATTTTTGTAATTTTTTTCTGGGGATTCCGACATCTAGATCATTTCAGCCCCCAAGTCTATATTCTATTTACCCTATCAAACACTACATTCATACACATAAATACATCCATACAGTACACTCATTGCGTTTGGTCGGTGGAGTACTTGATATTCCTCCACTGACCTATACTCAAACTAATCTAGTTTGTGGTTGATGGAGTACTTTTATAAATATTCCGCCATCGACCCCGAACACACACTCATATGCTCTCAACGTTCGAGGGGCGATGATGACGTTATATTTCACCCTCACCCCTCGCCAATCACGCTAATAAATACATGCACTCAGGTAAAACCTAGACACACAACACATATGACATATTATATACAATAAAAAAAAAAACAATTTCCACTAAAAAGCAGAACAGGGGACTCTGAAACTCGCTACCGTGTTCGAGAACTCTTCTTAAGTCCGGAGGCATGCCTACGCACATAAACTCAGTCGCAACTACGCCAATATCATTAATCAAATTCAATAGCGATAACATATATATATATCATCACATCACGCAAAACATATAATACACCTCAAAGAAGCCGACTCCTTATACAAAAATGTCTTTCTATACCGACTTCCTTCCCCACCCCTTCAAAATCCAACGTATATAAACATAAAACATCAATGTCTCACTGGCACTCTCAACACGAAACACAATAATAACACAACTACACAGAAAACAAACACTTTGAATGAGTAGAAATACTTTGAATATAACTTTTTTTTTTTGCACTGTATAAGTTTTATCCACATCCTACATGTATTTGTTAATTTAAACAATGTTTGTAAATGCCAGGCCCTGAAGATGATAATAATAAAGATCGAAACATTAGCACGATATATAAAATGTTTTCTGAAATCTACGTCACACCAGACCGAATCTCACGATTTCCTAGTAAAAATTGATTAATTTATTATTTTAGGGCCTATTGGAGGACGATAGGACTCAGGACTATTATTTTGCAGCCCAATATCATCAAAAAATATTAAAATTATTAAAATATCTAGCTATTTTATCAAAACTAGTGTATTATATAATGATTATTTGTTTATGTATTTTTAAAGGGTGTGAATCTCTAAAATATTTATATTTTTAGTAAAAACTTATTGCTTCTGTATTTCATTGTACAACAGAATCCGTGGATTGAGAATTTATTTTCAATTAATAATTTATAACCGTATTTAAAGCCGGAATGACAATATTGAATGTTAGTAAACATCTAGAAATGGCGAGAAGGGGCGGGAACGTTCTAGGGTCTGGTGGGGGTTTTATAAAAGCCAGGTGTCCCCCTGGCAAGATCAGTTTACTTATAGCTTTACAACGTAGTGCGTTGTTGTACCAGAGACAATTCTTATACTCGCCAATCATCAAAGTAAGTTGTAAAGTCTTTATTCTGTACTGTATTAAAGGTTTTTATTGAGTATTTTGTAAGTGTTTTTAAAATCATAATTTTCTTTTGTAGGATGTCATTGCTGCCAGTTTTGTTGAACGAGCTGCTGGACGATTATCGCAGGCCAGTCTGTGATTTGGGAGACCAACATTTTGGACTCGGTCTATTTGACGATGACTTGAGACCAAGCAGGTTGTTGTCTAATCCTCTACGCTGCGGCTACGTCCGCCCTTGGAGGAACCTTGCAGCTGGGGATTCTGGTCTTTCGTCCATCGTCTCGGACAAGGATGGGTTCAAAGTCAACTTGGACGTGCAGCAGTTTAAGCCTGAAGAGCTTAAAGTAAAAGTTGAGAATGATATGGTTGTCATTGACGGGAAGCATGAAGAACGATCGGACGAGCACGGTTTTATCTCGAGGCAGTTCACGAGGAAATACAGGATTCCTAAAGACGTTGATGTCAACGCTCTCAAATCAAATCTTTCCTCCGATGGTGTCCTTTCACTCCATGCACCCAAGCTGGTAAGTCTTGTTTAAAATCTAAACAATTTTAAACGTAAAGAATGAAATTAATACAACATATTATTCATGTTTTCAGATCTCCAAGGAGAATCCTTCTCGTGAAATTCCTATCACTCATACAAATGCTCCAGCTTTGAAGCAGAAAAAGGACAAAAATGAGAAAATGGAAGAGTAATTGTAAAAGAAAAAATAATCATTCCAGTTTTAAGTGTGATTTAAGTGTGATGCCTTTGTTTTAAGAATTGTTTTTTGTACCTTCAATAAAAATAAATAAAACAATTGTTGAAAGTATCATTGTTTGTTAAAATCTTGCCTGGCATGTCTTCCCTAGTCCCATAAGTTAATTGTATTTCAATATAAAATATATGTTTGAAATTATATGGACATGTATAATGATGATCCCATCTGCAGATTATGTAATGAGGAAGAAGAAAAAGCCACCCTTATCATCTTCCAAATCGAAGCAATGACTCAATGGAAACAACCTAGCATACAGAAAAAAACCTAGGGAATGAAATTTTAGCAACAGCAGTCCTAATACTTCTGACAAGAAGGAATGAGTCAATTGCACTGAACTAGGGACCTAGGAAAGTTCAATAAGCTAGAAAGCTGCAGTGCCTGGGGAGCACAAATCCC